ATCTGGAACCATAAACTAAAATATGTTGAAGCCAGTGATCTACGTGAGAATTGGTACAAGATGTTCTACCGATGGCACTACACACCGGAAAAATTGGCAAAATTTAACAAAACTATAACAAATAAATGCTGGAAGTGCGGTAGGGAAATTGGAACCTTCTACCATCAATGGTGGGCATGTAAAAAAATAAAAAAGTTCTGGAAGGATATTCACCAAGCCTCTCAAAAAATCTTGAAGACCACCTTCCCACAAGCCCCAGAAACATACCTATTGGGAATTATAAACACAAAAATCGACAAGAATCAAGATAAGGTACTTTTTCTACTCAGCACCGCTGCTAGACTAGTTCTGGCCAAAGTCTGGAAATCAAATGAAATTCCAAGCGTGGAAGATTGGATCCTCAAGGTTTTTGATATCATCCAAATGGATTGCCTCTCACAGAGATTGAAAGAAACAAACAAAAGAACAAGTTGGATTGGATTCAAAGACTTTATTAAAGCAAGGGGGATCCCATTACAAATAGATCTGTCCCACATTTAAATCATGAACTCTAAAAGAAACACGGTCGGCATGACAACAGGAGGATGCGAGATGAAGACTTCTGGAAGATTTTTGGGAAGTCAAACCCTCCCCCCTCCCCCAACCCTACCCCAACTTTTACCCCTACCCCTACCCCCTTCCCTTCCCTCCCCTTACCCCCTGACACACCTTTTTGTATATACACGAAAACTCAATAAAAATCTATTAAAAAAAATGATTGATATTTTGCCCACTAACCATTATCCTTGGAATTTCATGGGAAAAATTAGGACACTTTTTTTAAAAAAAACCAAGTGAAGAAGCAGGAGGGCAGATAGGAAAGCACAACTATCCCATTTAAAGCAGGATGCTTGCAGCATATGCTAAGCATATGCCACTGTTAGCTCTTAAGAAGTTGAAGCGCTCGACTAATACTCCAATAGGATTCTAATTGTGGTCTGTGAGAAATCCGGATTTAGAAATGGTAAAATACATTTCTGATGCAATAGTCAAGAATCTCCAGCTAAAATGCATTTGCCATTCTAGAGACATATTCAATCCAACCTGTACAGCCATCTTCCCTTAAAATTTTGCAAATTGCTTTTTTCCTGACTTAATGCTAGCATCATTATCTCCTTTTTACCTACTGAATTTCTCCACTTTTAATCGTCTCTGCCGTTATATCCGAGAATTTTTAAATTTTTACCTTTTAGGATTACATCCCCAGACACCAAGATGATAATCCATAACCCCCCTTCCTCCACCCCAAAATCGCTGAAGTATTCTAGGAACTGCAGTACAAAAAAATGTGATACTCACTTTCACAGTTACAAATACACATAGCCTAGAATTCTATATTAGTGACTGGTTTGCATTCATGAACGCCTTTTAGGAAGCAGGACTTCCTAAATGTTTCCACTTGGGACCTCTTTTGGCCCAGGAAATTTTATGTGATTCTGGATATATAGGTATATTAAATATGTATAAAATCAAATATTTACAGATAACCAGTCAGCTTAACAAGGCTTGCTAAATGGGCTGGTTTCCCTTTTTATGAAGTACATCTGAAGCATTTTCTTCAGAGTCTGCAGAATACCTGACTGTAATTAGTCTTCAAGGAGTCTCTTTCCGTGTCCCCCCCCCCCACCAAGTGATCCCATGACATACCATAATTACTTCTTGTACCAAAGATTGCTCATGTGAAGGCATGTAGCTGGGGGCGGGGGGCTTGAGGGACTTCAGCCCCCCCCCCAAATTCTCATGGTGGTTCGCAAAAAGGCCTTACTGGTGCATTATTTAAACTGTTATGTTTATTCATATCATGATCTGATCACCATACTCAATATATCCCATATGCATGGGGGATTGGGGTAACGATACAAAAGGTTTGCTAGGGTAGACCCTCTTTCACTCGGACTCAGCTCCCCCCCCCCCCCCGAAACAAACTCACCCCCCCCCCCCCCGAAACGAAATCCTGGCTACGGGTCTGCTCATTTGATAGGGATGAAAACATTAGTGAGCAGACCCTGTCACTCACAGCAGCTGGAAGAGTCAGTCTAGGAGATGCTATTTAATTATGTAACTACAGTAGTTACATAACTAGAAAGCTGGTCTACAATCATGGCCAATATTTCCAAGCTCCAATAAGAATGTAGGCATAATTGTGCTTTATTAAACCAAATGACAATGTAGTCCAGCATTTTGTGTACTATTGTGGTTTACAGTTCCTTTGAGAAAACCAAAGCAGGACATTAAAAAAAATATACTTTGCCAGCAACTAGCATCCAGGGACATAATGTTAACTGATACTGAAAGTAATCCATGACTAGGAGCCATTGGTAGCTTAAAACTCCATGAATCTGTTAAACTCCCTTTAAAGGGGCCCATCAGTACAACTTGTGATAATGAATTCCAGAGTTATACTGTATACACCAGAGCCCCCGGTGGTGCAATGAGTTAAACCCTTGTGCCGGCAGGACTGAAGACCGACAGGTCAGAGGTTCGAATCCAGGGAGAGCATGGAAGAGCTCCCTCTGTCAGCTCCAGCTCCCCATGTGGGAACATAAATGAAGCCTCCCAAAGGATAGTATTCATACTTGAGCGCTCCAGCTGGAGGACAGCTGTGACTAGCAGTGCTGCAGAATTTGAGGAGGCATGAGTGGAGGGTGAAAGAGAGAAACGTGCCAGGAGGAAGGCGCGTCAAGCCAACCCCGACCGGGACCGCCTTCCACCTGGAAACCAATGCCCTCACTGCGGAAGAAGATGCAGAGCAAGAATAGGGCTCCACAGCCACATACGGACCCACAAGGAAATCCATAATGGAAGACCATCTTACTCGTCCAACGAGGGATCGCCTAAGTAAGTAAGTAAAGGATAGTAAAACATCAAAAACATCTGGGCATCCCCTGGGCAACATGACGACCAATTCTCTCACATCAGAAGCGACTTGCAGTTTATCAAGTCGTTCCTGACAGGAAAGAAAAACCTGTATACTGTGTAAACAAAGTACTTTCTTCTGTCTCTTCTAAATTTCCAATTATATAACTCCATTTGGTGACCCCATTTTTAAACAATACTAGCGGTCCCCTGCCACGCGTTACTGTGGCCCAGTCTGGTGAGCTGGAAAATAAAGTAATGAGAAAGTGTTGGTTTCTAATATATGTAATGCCTTTATGCTTGTGGGTAAACAGTATTTCTTGCTGTTTCTTGTCAGTATTGATGTGGAGATTGTCTGTTTTGCTCACCCTGGAACATGCAACATATCATTGTCCTTCTTTAGGGGTCCCTTTCAAATCTTTGATACTGCATCTGTCATATACATATATATGTGTGTGTGTGAATGGCTGGATGGCCCTTTGTCAGGAGGGCTTTATGCTTTCTTGCCCTGGTGAAGGGAGCGGGACTGGATGGCCTTAAGGCAGCATTTCTGAACCTGGGAAATCAAGACCCCGGAGGGGGGGTCACCAGGGGGGTGTCAGAAAGGTCACCAAAGACCACCAGAAAACACAGTATTTTCTGTTGGTCATGGGGCTTCTGTGTGGGATGTTTGGCCCAATTCCATCATTGGTGGGGTTCGGAATGAATAAAATAATAGTAAAACTTTATTTATATACCATTCTATCTCCCCGAGGGGACTCAGAGCAGTTCCCAGGTAACATCACAAAACATACAAAGTAAAACAACATAGAGATTTTGTCATATATAAGATTAACAAAACAATATAAGCATAAAAATTGCTCTTTCATTGTAAGTGAACTATACATCCTAGTAACTACAACTCCCAAATGTCAAGGTCTATTTTCCCCAAACTCCATCTGTGTTCACATTTGGTCATATTGAGTATTCCTGTTAAGTTTAGCCAGATGTATCATTATTTGAGTTCACAGTGCTCTCTAGATGTAGGTGAACTACAGCTCCAAAACTCAAGGTCAATGCCCCCCAAACCCTTCTAGTGTTTTCTGTTGGTCAGGGGAGTCCTGTGTGCCAAGTTTGGTTCAATTCCATCGTTGATGGGGTTCAGAATGCTCTTTGATTATAGGTGAACTATAAATCCCAGCAACTACAATTCCCAAATGACAAAATCATTATTTTTTGAGTGATGGTCACTCCTTGTGTTGTGAGACATTTTGTTGCAACATTTGGTGTGATTTCATTCATTGGTTCTTTTGTTTTTAAGGTACTCATTATGCACAGCGCATTTTTATATATATAGATTGAGGCCCCTTCCACTCAGCTGTATAAAATCAACTGGATTATCAGAAAGAAGGTTAAATTGTGATTCTGGGGCCAGACCTTTGGACAGCAAGCATGGCAGCACTTTGAATGTTGAATCAGACTGGAATTGGCTATATGGATTGATGACAATGATTTTAATGTGTTTTTAACTTAATGTTTTATTTTCTATTTTAAACTGTTATTATATTTGTTTATATTTGTATTATCTTGTGGCATCGAATTGTTGCCGGTGTAATCTGCCCTGAGTCCCCACGCGGGTTGAGAAGGGCAGGTTAGAAATGTGGGAAATAATAATAATAATAATAATAATAATAATAATAATAATAATAAAATATATGACAGTGTGGACTCAGATAACTCAGTTCAAAGCAGATATTGTGGATAATCTTCCTTGATATTCTGGGTTATATGGCTGTGTAGAAGGGAGAGAGAAACCCTCCTTCTCTTTCCTCCCACCTCCTTTATTATGCATAATCTTATGTGTTCCTGTCATCTCTGTTTTGCTGAACTGGAAGGATGAAGAAAACACTCAAAGAAAGAATTATTCAGAAGTTTTCTCGGGGTCTTTTTGCATCTCCTGGTTAGGATGTCCCATCTGCACATGGATGTTCATCATTCACTCTCTGGACAGTCAGCCCCTTCCTCCCAAAAAAGACTAGCAAGCATCTTTTCTTCTAAGTACTATTTTTAATCAGAACATTTTCTTGAATTATGGATCCAAGATATCATTTTTCATTTTTACTTACTGGAGCGCTTCTTTCTTGTGACTGCAATAAGTGATGAGTGATTAGAATAAGTGATGATTATGGCTCTGCTGAAGTTACTCTTCTTACATCTATGGCGGGGCTGAATGAGAGAAGACAGGCACATCAATTATATTCAAAATTTCATTTTCAGTGCCATCATTGGCCAAGATATTCTCTCTCCCCCCTCTCATTCACCTCTTTCTCTATTTTTATATCTCTCTCACACACACACAAACACACAAACCTTCTACCCACCAAAGATGGTTGCTATGTCAAACCAGTTTAGCAGATTATGCAGCTGTCAACCTGAGGTGAGCTTTGGCAGCTATTAAGAATTACAAGCAGCAATAACCCGAAGAGAGCATTATGTAGATATTTATTAATTTATCTGATACCCTTTCTTTCAATCTAAAAATCAATAGCTGTCTTTAAAAAAAACTTCAGAACTATCTTCTGAGATATTTTAGACTGATGAGTGACTTGTCCTAAGCCACTGAGTATGTTTAATAGCTCAGCTGATCTAATCATTACATTTGGCACTCAACATGATGCAAACAGTAGGAAAGAATTCTTTGAGACCAACTCCCCCATGCTATTAGCATTATTGAAGCCGAGAAACCTATTCAGCAGATCCATATCCATCTCCCACCTTTCTAATGCCATACTCCAAGCACAACTCATTTCCACAAACTTCCAGCCTCATAGGATGAAGGAGGTAACATGGACATGTTTTGGGAGGACTCTCCATTTCTTATTTTTATAAAAACTATAAGAAGATTGTCACTTGAGAAAGCATAATTCTCCTTATAAGGTGGAAGGAGGGCTCTCCATGTTTTGGCCCCAAAGCCTTTCCCATTTCTTCCAGCCTCTTCCAGTTTTCATTTGCCATGTTTGTGTATGTGTACTTTATGGTGAGTTTGGTGAGACTGGCCCCTACTACTGTCAAAGTCACCCAGCCCTGTGGAACCTCTACAGGATATTTCTCCACCATTTAATGGCTTCTTGAATAACTATCGGCCAATTTCAAATCTCCTTTTTCTGGGCAAGGTTCTGGAGTGAGTGGTTGCTTCTCAGCTCCAGGGATTCCTGGATGAAACCGATTTTCTGGACCCTTCACAGTCTGGTTTTAGGCCTGGTCACAGTACTGAGACAGCTTTGGTTGCTTTGGTGGATGACCTCCGAAGAGAGCTTGACAGGGGGAGTGTGACCTTGTTGCTTTTCTTGGACATCTCAGCAGCTTTCGATACCATTGATCATGGTATCCTTCTGGGATGGTTCTGGGGTATTGGTCTTGGGGGTACTGCATTGCAGTGGCTCCGGTCTTTTCTGGAGGGCTGCACCCAGTTGGTGAAGCTGGGGGATACCTGCTCAGACCCCTGGCCCTTGACTTGTGGGGTCCCGCAAGGTTCCATTCTTTCCCTCATGCTCTTTAATATCTACGTGAAACCGCTGGGTGAGGTCATCGGAATTTTGGAGTGTGTTGCCATCTCTATGCAGATGACATGCAACTCTACTACTCCTTTCCACCAAAATCCAAGGAAGCCCCTCGGGTCCTGGACCAGTGCCTGGCTGCTGTAATGGGCTGCATGAGGGCCAACAGGTTGAAATTGAATCCTAACAAGACAGAGGTCCTCCAGGTCAGTTGCTTGGCCGAACGGGATATAGGGTGGCAACCTGTGTTTGACAAAGTTGCACTCCCCCTGAAGACACAGGACCACAGTTTGGGGGTCCTCCTGGACTCAGTGCTGATGCTTAATGCTCAGGTGTCGGCAGTGGCCGGGAGGGCTTTTGCCCAGTTAAATCTTGTGCGCTAGCTGCGACCATACCTCGAGAAGTTTGACTTGACCATGGTGATCCACACCTTAGTTACCTCAAGATTGGACTGCTGTAATGCTCTCTACATATGGCTGCCCTTGAAGTCAGTTCGGAAACTACAGCTGGTGCTAAGGTTGGCAGCCAGGTTGTTAACTGGAGCAAGTTACAGGGAGTGGTCAACCCTCCTGTTTAAACAGCTCCACTGGCTGCCAATAAGTTTCCAGTCCCAATTCAAGGTGCAGGTTGTTACCTATAAAGCTCTAAATGGTTCAGGACCTGCCTATGTGTGCAACCGCCTCCTCCCCTATGAGCCCACGCGATCCTTAAGATCATCCAGGGATGCTCTTCTCTTGCTCCAGCCCCTGTCTCAGTTGCAATTGATGGGGACGAGGGAAAGGGCATTCTCAATTGTGGCCCCTCGCCTCTGGAACTCCCTCCCCAGGCAGCTCAGGTTGGCACCCTCTCTAGCCACATTCCGTAAGGAATTAAAAACATGGATGTTTTGTTGTGCATTTGACTGATAACCCCATGACATACGACCTGTATCACGACCTAATTATCATTCAACCTGAATTTTCTATATTACATCACTATTCAGATTTTGGAAGTCAAACTGAATTATTTCTGATTCTGTTAAATTGCTCTGTTTTCATGATATTCCCTATGCTATTATACATTTTCATCCACCTTGTTGAACCAATTACTCTTTAATCAGCCCATATTTTGGCCTCCCCCCCCCTTTTTTTTTTTCAAATGAATTCTTTTGTTGCTTGATGCTTGTCTATTATTGTTATGTTGTTTTGTGCTTTTGAAATTGTATTTTGTTATTGCTTTGCTTTTAACTGTATGTTCCCTAGGCTTGGCCCCATGTAAGCCGCCCTGAGTCCCTTCGGGGAGATGGAGGCAGGGTAGAAAAGTAAAGTTCTTCTTCTTCTTCTTCTTCTTCTGCTTCTGCTTCTGCTTCTGCTTCTATTGGGATCAGGTGGCCATGGATTCATGTTTCAAGGTATTGGGTGCATCTACACTATAAAATTAGTACAGCTTGACATCACTTTACTACTGGGAGTTGTAGTTTACAAGCTCTTTTACCTTCCCTAGCAAAGAGTTTTGGTGCCTCACCATGACAACTTCCAAGATTCCATAGAACAGTTAAACTGATGCCAAACTGCATTAATTCTACAGTGTAGTTACACAATTAAAAGGGAAGCTGATTTTGCCAGAGCCTTTGTGGAACAGAAAGCAATTGTGGAACTGGGAAATGCAATGTGAATGTTTGATATGACTACTTTTGTACTTCTCTGAACCGTGCCACATATAGAATAGTTAATTACAGGAAGAAAATTATATGTTCCAGCCGAGAGAGTAACCTGATCAATATTGTTTACGCTCAACTCTAATTCACTGATCTTACAACTCATTAAGTTTCAGATATTATTGATTCTTTTTCTCCCTCTGGTAGACAGCTTAGTAGCTAAATAAGTACCTTTTTATATCTGGTGTCTTGGTTTGAATTTGAGCTGTAACCCTCCATCAAGTGAGTTTGGGGAAATCTTGCCATTCAATTACACAATATCCACGGCGTAATAAGAACAGAAATTCTCTCAAGCAACCAGCCATTTGGAAACAAACCCCTGAAAAAGGCAAACAGAAATAATTCACTGGTCTTCTCTTGCCTTCAGCTTTCTGAAAGGACCTAGGTAGAGAGTGAGATGAACTGTGAATTCATTTTCATTATGTCTTTCAGTTTCTCTGTTTCCAGTCTCACTGTCTATGAATTTGGTCCACTGACCTGGACACAGATAATAAAGAATACCTCAACCCATTAAGCCGTTGTTTATTAGATAATCTGATGTCAAGAAAGAAAAGTAAGAGAATATCACAGCACAAAACTTTACCTTTGAAAGAGAGTACAGCCTGGCCTGCCTATCCATGGATTCTTCATCCATGGATTCAACCACCCACAGCTTAAAAATACTGATTTCGCCATTTCATATAACACCCTTTTATTACACTGTTGTGTGTAACAGAACTTGAGCATCCACAGATTTTGATATCCATTTGGGAATCCTGAAACCAAACCACAGGACATACCAACATAGATTAGTGGAGGGAAAAGTTTACTAGTTTTTACAGTCCTTATGACACATTTAATGAAGCAAGATGTGTTCAAGATGTGTGCAGAAGGGCATACCTTCTGCATCAGGAAATCTGATACCAGACTCAGAAAAAATATTGAATCCCAAACTTAACCTTGATTACATAAACAAAAATCTTTTGAACCTTCTAGCGTTCACTTGAAAGCTTCTCCCAAATTAATCCAAGCAGGTTTTCTTTTACCAGATTCCACTTTTCTTTATGATTTTCATTTTGGTGACCAAATTCATAGGTCTATACTTCTTTTATATTTTTTTCTCTTTTTAACACACTGCCCTCTTGCAATAGAATGACTAGAGAGTGATCCTAGTCTTTCTTTGTTTGTTACATGATGCTGATATTGAACACCAGTAGTAGTTTTTCAGTTCTCCTTCACCATCTTCCCAATGCTAGGCTGCTTAAAAAAACATGCAGCAAGACAGAAGACAAGAAAACAAGTGTGTGAATGGATAGACTTCATAAAAAGTTTCTTTGTAAAAAGCTTTATTAACTGAGGTATGTCTGTACTTTTCTAGCATGTGTTTTTCTGCCTCCCTTGTTCAGCACCAAAAATGGCTACTTTTCTAAAACTTCAGGGGACTTTCAGTCATATCTGTCTGTCTGTCGGATTGTCTGTCTGTTTGTGTTGTTTTAGGAAGCATAACTCCGCCCCCCTCCCCCCAGTGTCCAGCTAAAAATGGATCTTGGGACAATTTGTCTGTTCTGTCATAGCTGATCAGCACTGAATTAATTAAAATAAATATAAAAATCTATATAAATAAACATGTAATGTTCATTTGTGTGATTAACATAACTCAAGAACCACTGGATGAACTGACATGAAATTTGGACACTACACCCCTAACAGACCAATGGGTGACCATCACTCATAAACTCTTCCCAAAAAACAGTGGAAAGGACTTAAAAACCCCAAAAAGCTAAATGACAATACAGTGCATGTGCAAAAATGACAGCTTCCAGCATCCCCTAGACCAGGCCCTTTATGGGAGGAGGATGCTCCAAATGCACTGCTTCCAAGTTGCAAGCTTGCTTCTCCTTGGATTTCTTTGAGAGCATACCAATATGTACATATTTCTTATTCCTGGACTACAACTCCCAGCAATTATCTAGATAGATAAGATATATAGATTAGATAGAGAGAGATAGTAGGTAGATAGATCAATCAGGAGGACTGCTGGGAATTGCAGTCCAAGAATAGATAGAGAAGGAAGAAGAAAGGAAGAAGGAGGAGAAGGAAGGAAGGAGGAAGGAAGGAAGGAAGGGGAAAGAGGAAGGGAGGGAGGGAGGGAAGGGAAGGAAAGGAAGAAGAAAGAGAAGGGGAAAGGGAGGATGGAAGGAGTGAAAGAAAGAAGGATACAAAGAGGGAGGGAAGGTTGGCCACAGCAACGTGTGGTGGGTACAGCTAGAATAAATATAATTCCTTTCTTTTGCCTCAAATGTTTTTTTTTAAATTTACAGTCTTGGGGCTTAAATAAAAAGAGGGCAATGACAGCAGTTTCCGTGATTTGAGTATAGAGAGGGCAGACTACTAAATGCATTCTCAGCATCTTCACAAAATGTCAGTTTCTAGGATCCTGTATGAACAGTCAGAACAATTAAACCAGGGCACTCTTCGAGGCAGATTTGAAAGCAACTCAATCTTATCCAAAGCTTGGAAAAATCACCCTTTAAGATGGCAGCTCCCCAAAACTCCAGTGGCAAGGGTGGTTGGAGGTTTTAGGAATTGTTGTCCAAAAAGGGAAGTTTTCCAAGCTCTGGTCATGTCTTACTATAGCCTCTATCTGGCCTTACTATCCATAATTATCTTCCCCCACCATCACTTTTTAAACAGTTCTGCTGCTCTCATCCTTCAGGACTAAAGGTATTTCTCTACCTAAAATCTGCCCTACTCTTAAGTCAACAGGGATAATACTCAATGTATCAAACTTTTCTGGCAGATGTGGAAGGAAAATCCCAAAAGCACCTGTGCTTA